ATGCCACTACTACATCTGCTTCGCTGTCTCCCTTAGCCAGGAATAGAATGGCCACGCATTCGCTCCTCTCATCTGTCAGGAGGGTCTGAGAGGCAAGCCCTAGGGTGTCTGAACTGCTGTCTTTTTTTTTTTTTTTTGGAAGTCAGGATGCATATTTCATTTGTGAAAACTTGGGTTATGCTCTCCCTGAATGTGGCCTGCCAGAAATGAAGAGCTTCAGCAGCATCTCTAAGTACAGAGAGACCAAGACTGCTCTCAAAATAACTCATTTTGGTCTGTAATTTGGTTCCAAGGGTGGGTCAGTGGAGAATGTGTTCACTGTGTCGTGTGTAATTTCATCTGCAGTCGGATACAGTCTGTGGTGGGAACCAAAAATTCACTGCGCCCTCAAGTTTGTATCGGGGACTTAGATAGTGAGAAGCCAATGGTTTACTTTTGGGGGAATTAATTCTGCACCAATGTACATGTGTGGAATTCACAGATTTTTTTTTTTTTTTTTGCTTCCCTACAGAAAAATTACTTTCTAGCAAGGAATCAAAGGTCGGAATGGTCATGTGTGCCTGAAAGAGCCAGGGAAAAGCTAGATCGCTGTAGGGAGACTTAAATGTCACAGACCAGTTCTGGGTCAGACATGTCCAGCCCTGCATCACTGAGCCCACTCCCTGCACTCAGAACCCCCACCACCAACCCCTTCACACTGGACACTCTCCCTTCACTGAGCTTACCCTTGCACCCAGCCCTTTACAGCCACACATGCTGGACTTAGCTGCTAAACCCAGCTGGACTGGGGGTGGGGGAAAGCGCTCTTCTCTTGCATAGATTGGCAAGGGCAGGGCCAAACCCACCCTCAGAAACCTTCCCTGGTTCTGCACCCCCTTTTTCGGCTTTCTGTCCCTATTCCTCTTCTGCTGCAGGGTGGCACTTTATGGAAATCTTATGCATTCAGGCAGCCTTATATCCAGATCCTCCTTCTCCACCAAACCCCAGCCCTGCCGTCTGAGCCCCATCCCTCCTGCATTTGGACCCCCACCAAACCCCTCCCCTTGCATCCTCACCCTTGCATTTTTTTATTTATCCTTTTAGCACTGCTTTGTTAAGCCATGCTTCTCATTGCTTCTTCCACACCTGCATCATCCTAATAAGGTCACCACCCCTCTGAGTCCCAAACAACTGCACACATACCCCATTCCACCAAGCCCCACACTCCCAGCATCCAGACCCCCTGCTGATTCTCCCCCAAAACCCATATTCCAACTGCCAAAGCCCATTCCCTCACTCTGCTTTGAACTGTATCAAATTCTTGCACAACAGTGTGGATGTGGACCTTTGATTTTGCAAAATCAGATGACAAGAAATTGACCTTAATAGATTTGACCTTATCCCATAGTGTAGACCAGGCTCTTGACACCTTGACTACAAGGTTAGTGAGTGTCAGAGTGCAAATCACATCTAATGCTGGGCCCCTGAGGCTCTTTACTGGACACCTTTGCTTTTCTGCAACTACTACTGCCCAGTTCTGCAGCATTTTTGTGGTATGTTCCAATCAGGGTTCAAACTCTTCTTCCTCAGGTATTAGGATGGGACCCATAGAAAATAACCTTAACTTACAATAGGAGCTTGATGTTGTAGCATGAGACAACACATCCTTTTCCACTGCTTGCACCAGTGCTTTTGATCAGTCAGTGGCCAAGACTGTAGCGCCTGAGCTAGAGACTGCTGAGTCAGGACCCAAAAACCTGACACATTAGCCATTATACAAACTGTGATTTCCCCCAAATATATACACAATTGTTTTCCCAATTTGGTGGATCTCTCAAGATTTGCTTGTGAAGATACTGACCCAGGATCCTGGATAAGCTCCCAAAAATGTAACTTCTTCCAGGGGGAGCCAGCAGCAGACAGGGGTTCAATATCTAGGAATTCCTTTTCAAAAATACAACATAGAACTGAGTAACTGGGAAAATTACGCACCACCAATGGGCGCCTCTGAGGCTATGTCTAGACTACAATGTTTTATCGGAAAAAGGTACGCAAATTGTACTCTGCAATTTTGTGTACCTTTCTCCAATAGTTTTGTCAGAATAGGCTTTTCCAAAATTTGGCCCATTTATAGTGGGCCATATTTCAGAAAAACCTCCTCTTTTGGAAGAACCCTTCTTCCTCATGGAATGAAGAAGACAAGGCTTCTGAAAGAGTGCGTCTGTTCTTCTGCAAAAAAAAAAAAAAAAAAGCAGAAGAACAGATGCGTTCCCTGGACCTCTGGTATCCTGGAAAAACCCTGTAGTCTAGACATAGCCTGAGAAGCAATACTTCCTTGCTTTCAATGCATCTACTCTATATAGCAATTTGTACTTGTTTCTTTAGTATCCTGATTGTTAGTAAAATGAGTCTGAGCATAGACAAGAAACATTTAATGAAAGGAGGGAAGTCACCTGACATTAGGGAAAATGCTGCAAGCGGAGTTCACAATCATAAAACTGAGATTCTGATGCCCACTCTAGTGTGCATGCGGCAGTGCTTTCTGCTGCATGTTCTTGAGTTCTACAACAGAAAGTGCTTTTTTTGGGCCTCATACTGCTCCCTCACCATACCCCACTCACAGTGGTTGTTCTGTGTCATTGGGAATCCAGGGTTTAGGAGTACATCTCTGTGAGTTTGCTTCCCACTCGGGGAAGTAATTTGTACACAACTCCTGTCTGCTAGATACCTATGCAAAATAGGTGTGTTCATGTAAATACAGTTTGCTCCTGTTGTCTCTTCCACATCCCAAACTAGCTATGGGGGAGAATTCAGTCAGACCCTGCTTACGTTAATGTATCAGAATCTGGTTTTGGTGTAAATATAATAAAGGCAATCTGCTTATCTGCTTGTGTTTGAGCAGGAGATGTTTTTTAGAGTAAAGGTTTTGATGAGGCCCTGGGTTTATTTTTTTTCAAACAAAGAAGAGCATTTTAAGTGTTAAGCTTTTTATTAGAAAATCTTTCTATACCAAATGTGAAATTTTACTAACGATCAGGATACTAAAGAAACAAGTACAGAGCATTTACTCTACATGGCATATAAAATGGGAAGAAGATAAAGAACTAGCAACATGTCAATAAAAAAACACATTACAATTAAAAAAGATTTTAAATTCTTGTTTTAGAACTCCATGTTTGTAATTAACCTATGTAATTTTTTTTTACTTGCATCATTCCTCTAAAGCAGTGGTCACCAACCAGTAGATTGAGATCTACTGGTAGGTCTTGGAGCCTCTGACGGGCGATCCTGACTGGTTTGGCCAGAAAGCTATCAAGCTATCACCCACGGTCTTGCTGCTCCTGCCCTCTGCCTTGGGGCTGTCCAGTTGGAAGTCTCCTGCTTCCTGTGCAGGGTGTAGGAGGGAGAAAAGGGGTGTGTGTGCTGATGTCAGGGTGTCCCTCCTCCCCCCCCCACTTCTGAACTCTATCTCCACACAGAGAGAAGGGGATGGAGTTAGGTTGGTAGTGCAAATCTCTATCACTCGCACACACTGTGTGTATCTCTGTCATTCTCACAAACACACTGCCCTTCACTCTCATCTTCGGACCCAACACATACATGGGGGGTGGTTGTTACTTCATTTACTACTTGTCCCTGCAGCCCCTGAGAGAGGCAGAGCACATGCTGTCCACATGCTGTCCCTGCCTGCAGACACCACTCCTAAAGCTCCCATTGATCAGTAATGGGGAACTGTGGCCAGTAGAAGCTTTGGGTTCCAGTGCCTGTAGATTAGGGGCAGCACATGGGGCCAGCTGTACATGCCAGCTGCTTTCAGGAGTGGTGCGGGGTCAGGGCAGGAGTAATCCTGCCTTAACCCCACTGCCCCACCACCCGGAACCTGTTTCAGTTAAACGGTGCTCAGCCAGAGCCTGATTCCTGATGGGCCCTAATCCCTCACCCTGGGCTAAGCCCGGAGCCCCTCCCACACACCAAACTCCTTGGCCCAAGACCAGAGCCTGCACCCCAACCCTTACCTCAGCATGGTGAAAGTGAGGAAGGGGGATGGAGTAAGCAGGGTGAGGCCTTGGAGAAGGGGTGTCACAGTGGCTGGGCCTCAGAGAAGGGGCAGGAAGGAAGTGGGACAAGGGTGTTTGGGTTTGAAGTAGATCTTACATTGCACTTAAATTGAAAAAGTGATCTGTGGTTAAAAAGATTGGAGACCACTGCCCTAGAGTTTGTTGGGTACAGAATTCACCTTCACTTCCTGTCCTAACTATTGTGCTATGCTGCTGTGGGCTGCTAAGCAGCTTTTAGGTGGGAGAGGTGATGTCTGTATATAGGCTGGAATCAATTTGTAAAGCTCTTGCTGGAAAGCCTTAGTTAATAGCCTGTCCCTTGAAAGTGGGGGATTCTCTGGCAGAACTTAGTTTTATCCTTACTATTCAGGTTGCCTCAGTTGCCTTCTCCTCAGAAGTGATGTCCTTCCCAAATAACAGAATCCTCCATTTGGTCTTGTAGCTTTGTGATATAGGAGAGTCAGAACTCCTCCTCAGTTGTATTCTGAGTTCAACCACTCATCTACTGAGTGACCTTAGGCCAAGTTTCTTTCTTCTCTGTTGCCTCAGTTTTCCCCGTTGGTGGGATAGGGATGCTATTGCTCATCTTCATAAGAAAGGCCATACTGGGTCAGACCAAAGGTTCATCTAGCCAATGCCAGATGCCCCAGAGGGAGTGAACAGAACAGGTAATCCTCATGTGATCCCTCTCCTGTCATCCATTTTCAGCCCCTGACAAACAGAGGCTAGGGACACCATACCTACCCCTCCTGGCTAATAGCCACTTGTGGACCTAACCTCCATGAATTTATCTGGTTCTTTTTTGAACCCTATTACAATTCTGGTCTTTCAGGAATGTGGAGGGTTTTGAGGCTTCCCGTGCTTGCACATGTAAGTGCATTGGGATTCTTGGATGAGAGAGGCTAGAGAAGAATGGTGAATGTAAGCTAAAAGGCCTGTTCCTAACTGTGCTTTGTCCTGCAGGCAGACAACGCTGGTGGTTTACATCATGTCTCTGGTGGGCTTGGTGGCCTTTACCTTCACCCTGAACCTAGGCCACCTCTGGGTGGTCTTTGTTACTGCAGGCGTGTTGGGGTAAGTTCACAAGCAGTTTGCTTTCTCCAGGACTTATTCTCCCTCCCAAGTGGGAGCCAACCCCAGGAAGGCAAAAAGATGGCCCAACTTAGTGCAGGCTTTCTGCTACCTCCCACATTTAAGCTGGAAATATCTAGCAGTGGCATAAAAGTGAAGTCAGAGATGTTGCAGCCCAGAAGGAGCAGGGGCCAGGGTGGGACAGAACTTCTCGGGGAGAAGGTGCAGGTGTTATATTCACCCCACATAGCTCCTGTATCTTCTGACTGGGAGAGCTGAGGGATGTGTGCAGCAGCCCTGTCCCAGCTGGCTCCAAACGCTCTGCCAGGCTGGATGCCCTCTCAACAGGGTGAAATGTTTCTCCAGAAGCAGGTGGGACTGTGGCCTGTCAGATCTTGGAGAGAAGGAATGAGAGCCATGGTGACAGCTGGGTCCCTAAAATAGCTCACAGCTGGTCTGGGGCTTGGCATACCATCTGCGCCATGTAGGGGCTTTTATTAACCAAACTAGCATTATTATTCTGACTCTGATGCTGTTGGCTCTCCCTGCACCTCTCTTCTCTTTTGTCCCCACAGGCCTGGCCGTCTGTCCCATGGTTGCAGGCACAAACATTTGTGACTTGGGTTGACAGTTTCCACTGTGGGCGTGTGGTCAGTGAGTCAGATGGCTGGAGAGATAGGGTAATGCTGGGGACTAGTACTGTGTAATCACTAAGGGTACATCTAGACTACAGGCTTTTGTCGACAGAAGTTTTGTCCACAGATACCGTCGACAAAGCTTCTGTCGACAAAGAGCATCTAGACTACAGCCAGTTCTGTCGACAAAGCAAACCGCTTTGTCGACATGAGAGTGTAGACACAAAGGACAATGTAGATGCAATTATGCCTTCTGGCAACAGAACTCTTGTAGAATGAGGTTTACAGCTGTCGACAAAACTGCTGAATTTAGACACACCCTATGTTAGGAGGAAACCAGGGGTCAGAGCCATATAGTCCTTTCCCCACTTCTCCCTCCACCACCTGTTCACTATTCCTTTTCTGTGCCTCTGTGCAGCTTCTCCATGACTGGGTACCTACCACTGGGTTTTGAGTTTGCAGCAGAGTTAACATACCCAGAGTCAGAAGGAACATCTTCAGGCCTCCTTAATGTATCTGCACAGGTATGTTTCCCCTGCCCCATCACTCTAGAATGCCCTGGTAGGCCCACAAGGATACAGTTCAAGTCAGTGATCCATCCAGTCCAGCATCATGCACTGTCACAAAGAACATTTCATGCCCCAGACCTTTGCTTTTTTCTTTTATTGTCAAACCTGGAATTTAATCTTCAACTCCAGTGGCTTCCCAGCCCCTCCCATGCCCGGGAAAGTCCTTCAGGATACACTGTCACGCCCAGCAGTCTAGGATCTCCCTCTTCTGAGGTGAAAGGGAATTCTAGCCAGCAGGTTCTACTGTCCTCCCTCTAGCCAGAAGGAGGCACATCATCCAAATTCAGCCCTTTGTTTCTAATCCAGCTTCAGTTGAGAACAGCTACAAGCCTGTAGGGATTCTAAGTCTTTATTAGACCTGCCTTTCCCTGGTGAATCAGGAGGAAAGGGTGGAGATGAGGGGCTGAGGGGTGGCCGACAGCTGAGGACAGCACAGTAACTCCATTCCACTCTTTACTTTTGTGTTAAAGGTTTTTGGGATCATTTTCACCATCAGCCAAGGGAAGATCATTGATCACTTTGGGACGCAGGCAGGAAACCTCTTTCTTTGCTCCTTCCTGCTCCTGGGGACCTTCATAACCGGTAAACCAGCCCCCAGAGATTCCCCTCCTGACTGTGACCCATGGGATTCTGCTTGCAAAGTGAAGGGAGCTTCCCCACTGTAATGTCTGCAGTGCTGCTTCAGCTGAGTGAGCTCCAGAATAGCAGCAACCTGACTGTGGTGCTGATGTTTCTCTGTTGTGGCAGCTGTTCTGTGTCAGGGGCTGAAGGTTCCAGTGGTGTGAGCTTCCCCAGTGCTGACCCCATTCATGCTCCTTCCTGGGGAACTCAGCCAGAAGATGCTTCCTCATGGCTGGGCCAAGGCCTCCCTCTGCTGCCTGACAGTGGTAGAAGTCCTATCCCTCTCATTCAGGAGAGTGGATCCCCTGCTGACCCCCAGTGTCTCCTCAAAACTTGCGCTGCTGCTTTGCTACCCTTGTGTATGTACCCTGAGTTCTGGGAAACTTGTTTGTGTCACCTATTGTGTCCTCATGGTGTTCTTCTTCTCTCTACCTCTTAGTGTTCATTAAGGCCGATCTCCGGAGACAGCAGGCCAATTTGGACAGTGAACAGACTGTGAGTAATCCCCCTTGACCTCTGGCTCTACTCCTGTTAGCTTAGGGTGACCCCTGCTCTGTCCCCTCCCCACCTGTTGGAATCTCTGTCTCTGGGTCATTACCATAACCCTGACCCCCTTCTTTTGTCCCCATGATTGGCCGTCAGCCTGGCCAAGGGATGTTCCTTGCTGGCATTTGCAGTCCCTGGCTGAAATGGTGGTTTCAGCTCTGGCAGGTATGGCGTTTTGTGGATACTCTGAGCTGATCTCATTGGATGTCACTGAACACTATCCACCAAGGAGACTGCAGAGCTCTGTCCCTGTCATTTTACATTAATGGCTAGGGATTAGGGATAGATGAGGGGGGCAGGGGAAGAGAGATGCGCAGCCCCCACTGCTTCTACTGAGAGTGAGTTAACACTTAGCATTTCCATAGATAGGCCCATGTTTAGAGCATATTGCAAACATCCTCACAGTCATCCCCCTGAAAAGGGTGGGGGGTAATTGCTTGTAGCTCCAATTTGTGCTTGAGGAGAGTGAGTTACAGAGAGGCCGTGTCTTGTCCCAGGCTGCGGGAGGGATCAGTGGCATAGCTAGAATCAGAACTTAGGCCATTCTGGCCCCTAGCGCGTTGCTCGGCCCATTAGATATAGCTTTAAAACTCCTGGCTATGCTCCTAAATGCTGGCCACAGTTCTCCCATGCCCTGTGCAGTTAGAGGAAGAGGCAAGAGGAAGAGGCCTTAGGTGAATCAACTAATATTGGATAATCTCAGTGTTTCTCCTTTAGAAGGGCTTGTTGTTATCTCCTGCACCTTTTTGGCTGTTGTCCTGACTGGCTCTGGCCTCCTCTTCTAGGATGCAAGCAGAGATATTCACAGAGTGCTCCTGAAGCAGTCAGTATCCAAGACTGGCAAAATGCATAAGATAAGCTCCTTGCTGGCTCGAATTTTACCTTTTTGGAAGACAGTACCGCCTTCCACCAGATAGTCTCTAACAGCGCCAATCTGGAGAGATCAGCGGCTCCAAGTGGCCTTGTGGCAACCCTGCTCTGACTGTCAGCTGAGGAAAGTGTATTTTAAATAAAATATCTTTTATAGAAATAGCTCAGCACAGGCACAAAACATAAGGACAAAATATGCAAGAGAGCTGCCCTCCAAGCAGTCCTCTAAATATAATCCCAGAGCAGCAGTAAAAACTTCCCACCAAATCCATCCCATGAAGGGCCGTCCAGTGTATACACTTGGGGGTCCCTTGTTTAACCTGTATTGCACAGCAGGTGGCCTCCCGTGTTTGTTTGACTCCAGTAAGCATCCGGGGGAGATGAGTCCCAATAGGACCAAGGGCATAGATTAAGGAACTGAAGTGTTGAGCTCCCCAGAATAGTAATGCACACAGAAAAGCCTGGAAAATTGTTTGTACTATTTAGCTTGGTTGTAGAATACAGCTGGTCACTATGGACACAAAATGTTCTGAATCACTCCTTCCCTATGATATTCTAAAACTCCTTTTGGTCACAAATGGAGGGAATGCTGGATTTGCAGTGACCAAGCCTATGGGGAGATGCATCTTCCAGCTCTAGAGCCACAGGTGTAATAATCTTGTGCCAAATTTCATCTATAAGGCCACAATGCAACTGGCCTGCAGTGATAGGTGCTAGTGCTATTATCTCTTGCTCAAAAAGAAGCCAGGGCAAGAGCCTGAAATATCCTGTCCTTTAGGCAGCAGATGTAAAGATTCCTGATAAAGGAAAAGGGACTTTTTAGACAAAAGGTCTCTTTCCAAATGAACTGGGAGCCTGTGCCCAGGCAAGACAAATAAATGGTACCTCGTGGTGAAAATCTAAAATGAAATTGTGGGCCCTCATCTGGGAGGTGTCAAAATGGAAAAAGGGAGGCACAGCTGCTATTTCAATAGGCCATATCCTCCCCATCTATGGAACTTTAAGGTAGACCCAGGAACTAATCTCATTAAGAACTAGAGGGATATACTAGCGGTGAAAGGTCTTCAAACATGGAGTAACGTAGGGTAAATATTAAACCTGTCCAGAAGCTCTTATTGGAGGCCTCTAAGAGATTTTCATAGCTCTGACTTCTTCCCGGCGTCTTTGCATGAACTTTATGACCCAGGTATTTCCATAGGTGGGCAAGCAAGTGGAGCATTGTAGCATTAAGAGGCTGGAGGCTGTGTCTGTAACAAACAACACTATCATAACAAAGTGAAATTTTATGCAGACTAGTTAACTCATATCCCATGAACGTCCCCCTTTTGGGCTAACTGGAAGCATCAGTTGGAAGAGGGGAGACTGAAATCTTGATCACGTTGATTGCCTCCTGGGGAGCTTTAGCTAAAGATTTTCCAATAGAAGATTCTGAAGTATTTTTAGTTTTTCCAAGTGCCCCACTTGCTCTCCATGCAGCTGAAAATTTTACTAGTTTCTTCCTTCTCCAGGAATGGATGACTTCTCTCTCTCTGTCTCTCTCACTTGTCCCCTTTTCTGGGCTCATGACCTGTGGCTGTTATTTCAGAGACTCCAGGACAGCAGGCACACCACGGATTACGGATTGTAGCTTGTAGCCTTAACCCCATCACTTCCAATCCCTGCTCACTAGTTCTCACACAAAGGTAGGAGAATCATACTAATCTGCTTATCTAATCACTCACAGGAGTAACACTGGCACCAAGCCAATGGCACTAGTTGCACTGCCTTAGGGAGCAGCAGAACAGCTGGAGTGATAGGGTAGTTGGGATACAGAGGCAGCTCTCAGCATCTCCAGGAGACAGATGGGGAGAGATTGGTCTTGAGCTTGTGAAGCATTGAGAAGAATGAGGACTGATGATATGTGGCTGCTTGGGTAACTGGAGCTTAAGGACTGGTGGGATGGGTGTTCTCTTGTCAGAGCATATAGCAAATTCTTTTGTGAGTAAGTGTGCCGAAGAAAGGAATCTTGGACAGCCTCATGGCTGAATAGTTATTTAAAGTCACAGCATCCTGACAACATGCGAATATGATGCCAATCAAATGAAGCATTAAAGACTTGGGAAATAATGGAGCCATTGGGTTGGTGCCTTTTTTTAGAAAAGTAACTGTAAATCATAAAGCGCCTGCTTTGTGGTGAGTAATTCCAGCCCTTTGCTAGAAGTGACTTCTCAGCCACTACTTAGGGATGTTTAATGCTTTGCTGATCTCTTGCTGTTTGAACCTTCTGCTGCGCCTGGCTGCCCTCTCCAAATGATTACCCACAATGCTCATAATGTGCTTTGTGCCTGTATTTGCTCAGTGTTATGCAGCAAACAAGCAAAGACTGAAGTTCAAACCTAAGATAGTATATTGGCGACATTGACTTTACTATTTTAAACCTGTATGTTGTTGCATGGTGTGCAACAGTGAGCATCAGGTGGTTGTGCTCCTGCAAGGATACGCAGAGATGATAGGTGAGTGCAGGTAAAGGTAAAGAGCACAAGACAGAAGGGTGGAGCAGAGTACTTGTGAGTTTGAAGCTAGGTCTACACTGGGGAAGAAAGATGTCCTTAAGATACACAACTCCAGCTATGCAATACACTGTAGGTGCTAGCTCAGCAAACTCCAGTTGGGTTCTTTCCTTCTCACATGACATTGCTAGTAGTAAAGAAAGGTGCTTCAGGCCAGTGCTGCCCTCTGTGATCCCTGTGTAGAGAACGGGAAGCTGGCAGAGCTCACCTTTGGTGCTCACTCCCCCACATCCAGGAAAGACCTTACCCTATTGACCAGCAGAGCACCTTTTGTTTTCCCTGGCTGGGAGGCACTGGGAACACTTTGGGGGAAATGGAAAGATGTTGACTATGTTTCCAACTTGGTGAGTGGTTGTATGTTAATTGTGAGGCAAAAAGGAGTTGCTGAAGTGATTTATTTTTAAAATATGCCAGTGAGCTCCTAGAGCAAAGGCCAAATGTCTTCTTGTCATGGCTTCTCTGAGATAGCTGTCTTGATTCTGCAGGGGTTATGGAAACATAAAGTTGAAAACTTGTGTATTGTCTTTTTCAATTTAAATAATAAGCTCTGAGTGTGCTGTCTGAAACAGAGGGGCTCTGTGGAGAAGGCGCTGTCTGTACATAGCTACTTGTCAGAACCAAACCACACTCCTAGCAGTGATCTACACAAGAGCTGTACAGTGCCTGCTTATTCCAACAGGAACTGCTTTGTGGCCACACATTATCAATGCATTTCACCATTTACACTGGAAGATCTTTTTCAGTGAGAATTAAATTGACTTAACAGTAGTGTGAATGCTTCACTCTCTAGTATAACTATAGCAATACAATCAGTTCTCTCATTGCTATTCCCACCAGCCTCAGTTCACCTCTGAAGTTAGTGGTTTAGCTTTCTGTATTCTAATGCTCATGAGACATTTGGACCAAACATTCCCTCCTCTTTAAATGGTACATGCAGATGCCCAGGGACTTCTATTTGTGACTTGCTTTTATTACATGCACATGGAATCTGAAGCCTTCACAATCATCCTGCTTTATGATCCCATAGCAGTGTCAACTAGCTCATATTACCCATGCTGTGTTATAGTGCATGAAGGTAGCACCACAGTGTATAACTGAGGCTGAATTCCAGCATCCATTCTAACCCTTCTTTTATAGTTTGCTTGTGCTCTGATTTTTTTGCTTTCTGAAACAAATGCCTTTTATGGGTGAAATTTTCCATGCTTGGTCTCTGCTCAGCAATGAAATTTTCAATGAAGTTTTTAAGTAACATCTGTTCAAACAAAAATGCCCACCAAGAATATTGAACATGCATGATTCTAAAATAGAACTGAATTTGTTCAAATGTAGTTTTTGTAGATTTCTTTGAAATGTACAATGTATGCCAAATCTAAAGACCATGTGGAGTGCATTTACATTTATAGCAGATTTTGTAAAAATTCCAATTTCTTCTATTGTATGACAGATATGTTCTGTCAGTAGACCATATTTTTAATTATGAGGATAAGGATGTTTCAGCTTTCAGCCACAATTTTTTCTCAGCATAATGCTATTTTCCCCCCATGCAATATGATCCTGTTGTCCTTGAAAATGCTACTTTGCAATGCAGGTGAGTCTGCACTGCTGCAAAGGGACAACTGTATTTCCAGAATGATGATGTTTAAAGGGCCTGCTTTCATGATCTGGCAGTGAGATGACACTTTCATTATGTCCTTAATGGCGCTGGAATCCAGTTAAGGTCCCATTTACATAACATGATAGATCCTTGCTTTGGCTGCTTGTTGATGACAACTTTGTGTTTTATTGTCTGTGGGTGTGGAGGTGTTTCTGACAATGAGCTGAGATCTAACCAAAATTCTCTTAGCTCTGGTAAGGTGCCTGATTCAGGATTTAGCAGGAAGCTCTGATTCCATCATCTCCCTGGTTCACCAGGGCCTCTGAACTTCCCCTGTCTGGCTCTAGTGAAATATGGCAGCTACCAAAACTCCTTGAATTTTATTGGGTAGGCATGGACATGGGAAGAATATTCTCAAGCACATTCTCTCCCTCTTGCCATTACCTGGAGATCACAAGCCTCTTTGCTCTGCTGACCTTTTGTTAGCAATGTGGCAAGTAGCCAGTGTCCCCCTTCCCCAAATCTCTGTGCAGGCAGTTTCCACACCTCATTCCTAATGGCAATATCTCCTCTATCCCCACCTCACGTGCTCACTAGTATGTGTCGTCTTTTCCCTTTCCCAAGATTGTGTAGCTATGTGTTTGTAGGTTTACTAACCCTTTGTTCCTCTAGCTCAAGAAGAGATGAAAGGTAAGTGAGGATGAAGCTGTAATAGGTTTGGTTTCAGACTCTACTGGCTCCTGTTCATTTAAAGCCCCAGTTCAAAATCACCAAAGGTCTCCCTGGTCAATTTCCCGGAACTCAACTCTGCTGCCCTCCCAGCATATCTGACTTTGACTTTTTCTCTCTCTGCCAACAATCTCCCCCCTGCTGGTGCAAGAGCCTTCCCTTCTGCAGCTCCTGCATATGCAAAAGCATCCTTCCATCCCTCTTCCTTTCTAAAGCTCTTCTTCCTTTGGGCTATTATTTAACTCTGTAAAACTTTCTGGGCTGCAGTTTGTATTAAAGATACTACTCAAAATAAAGCTATGTTTGTATCTCTTGCTTCTATGTGTGGCCTGCTTTTCTCTTAAACTGAGGGGAGATGTGAATCTCTTTCTTGTGTGTATCTGACCATGCTCATGGCTTGGACTTGTCTCACTCCAAAGGAAGCTAACTGCTTAGTGCTACCACTCTGCCTGTAGCTGCTGTATCCTGAGGCCACTAGGGTCTCTGGTTTGTTTCTGCTTCAGTGTGCTCTGTAGATTCTGTCTTAAATGGTGCAGAGGTGTGTGTCTAGAAGGAAATCCTGAAGTAGTTCTCAGTGGAACATCCTGGGACCTCTTACTAGCAGGTCTGTGGCAAAGGGCTAATAGGACAGCTGCCTTTCTGACTCCTGAATGGGGAAAAACTGTGTTCCACTTTTGCCTCTAGGTCTAATATGCAGGCAAAGCAAATACACCTATTTGGGGAGAGGGGAAGGGAGGGCATGGACCTATAGGCCTTTTTAAAGGGCAGTTGCCTGTTTGCATGAGCACTCTAGACAAACAATAAAAGAAGAGACTTCCTTTCAGACAGGCCTGGGGAGCGCTCTTCAGGCTAAAGTCCTGTCCTGGTGGGATGTTGACATGTCCAGTGTACTTGGGCAGGATGATGCAGCAGTGTCTCTATGCAGCACATTACCCTGAAAGCCAGGCCTAGGTCAGGAGTAGCCTGCCTGAAGCAGGATCAGCTCTTGGCAGGGAGCGATGTTCCAGGGGCTGTAACAGGACTAGTTCTTGGGTTCTGTTGTCTGTCCAGTCTGCAGGCCCTTTGAAGTCTCCATTCCCAGCCAAAAAAATGCAGTGAGTGGCCTCGTGGCAGTTATCTATTTGTAACTGAAGGACTGACATCAGGAGCACAGGCAGCAGCCAGGGTCAAAGCAGCAGGGGAAGGTGCCCACCCTTCTGTTACAGCAAACCTGAGCAAAATACCCTCTGCAAGCCACATCCGGCCTGCCAAGCAACTGGATCTGGCCTGGGGACTCCCTGCCTGCTCCCTGCATGGTGTTGATAAAGGCGGCCATTGCAGGGCTGTTTGAACAACTGTGAACCTGGGGCAGGGAGGAAAGGATTTGTGTGCTGCTCACGCCCCCAGCACAATCCCATTGGACAGTTTCTGGCTAATGGGAGCTGCCTGTTGTCAACAGGCTCAGAAACCACATGGCCCTGCAACCAAGGAGTCAAGCAAGTAAGCCTCCCAGCCAGAGCCTGCCTTTGGCACCCCAACCCTTTGCCCCCCCTACCACACATAACCCAAACCCTGTGCTCCTCTCTTGCCCCCATATCCATTCCCAGATCTTGCACCCCAATCCGCTGCCCCAGGTCACAACCCAAACCCTTTGTGCCCCCCTCCAGCATACATGTCCCTTCCCAGTTTCTTTTCCCCAATCCCCTGCCCCAGGTCATAACCCAAACACCTGCACCCCAATCACTAGCCCCATGTCACAACCCCCTCCTACCCTAGGTCACATCCCAACCCCTCCTGCACCCTAGTTCCTTAACCCAGCTCACAACTGTCTCCTTCACCCAATCTCGCCCCATCCTCTTCTGCACCCCAATCCCTCACTGCAAGCTCCTTTCTGCACCCAATCTCCATCCCCTACCTCACACTTCCTCGATGAATATGGAAGAATGCAGTCCTTGACCATTTTCCAAATTCTGGGGAGTGACTCCCCATCAAAAATTATTGCCCACCCCTGTGTTACAGCAATCCTGAAAGGTCAGCAGTGGCATAGCGAGATTCAGCTGCTAGAGGTAAGAAAGCTCATAGGTGAGCTTTTGTTTCATAGATTGCAGAGCTGGGAAAGTTCCAGGCAGCCCTGAGACAGGGAAGGGTTGGTGGGATTTTCCTTTATGTTCTGGCTCTTCCAGTCATTCCCTATTGTAATAGAAACATAAGATTGGCAAGACCACCAGGGTCAAGTCTATTCCCCTGCTACTGCAGGCTGAAAATCCATCGTACAATCCCATCCTAACACTCAAGGAGTTGACAAAGGAGGTATCTGAGCCTTTAGCTATCATATTTGTAAAGACATGGAAGTTGGGAGAGATTCCAGAAGACTGGAAAAGGGCAAATATAGTGTCCATTGATAAAAAAGGGAAATAAGAATAACCTAGGAAATTACAGACCAGTTAGCTTAACCTCTGTACCAGGGAAAATAATGGAGCAAATAATTAAGGAATTAATTTGCAAACTTCTGGAAGATAATAAGGTGATAGGTAACAGCCAGCATGGATTTGTAAAGAACAAATCATGTCATACCTATCTGATAGCTTTCTTTGATAGGATATCAAGCCTTGTGGATAAGGGAGAAGTGGTGGATGTGGCATACCTAGACTTCAGTAAAGAATTTGATATGGTCTCGTTTGACATTCTTATCAATAAACTAGGGAAATACAACCTATATGGAGCTACTATAAGGTGGGTACATAAATGGCTAGATAACCGTTCTCCGAGAGTAGTTATTAATGGTTCACAGTCATGCTGGAAGGGCATAACAAGTGGGGTTCTACAGGGGTCTGTTTTGGAACTGATTCTGTTCAATATCTTCATCAACAATTTAGATATTGGCATAGAGAGTATGAAAGTTTGCAGATGATACTAAGCTGGGAGAGAGTTGCAAGTGCTTTTGAGAATAGGGTCATAATGCAAAATGATCTGGATAAATGGTCTGAGTCAAATAGGATGAAATTTAATAAGCACAAATGCATAGTACTCCCCTTAGGAAGGAACAATCAGTTTCACACATACAGAATGGGAAGCGACTGTCGAGGAAGGAGTACTGCAGAAAGGGGTTGAGGGGCCATAGTGGATCACAAGCTAAATACGAGTCAACAGTGTGACACTGTTGCAAAAAAAGCAAGCATGATTCTGGGCTGCATTAACAGGAGTGTTGTGAGCAAGACACAAGAACTCATTCTTCTGCTCTACTCTGCACTGATTAGGCCTCAATTGGAGTATTGGGTACAGTTCTGGGCACCACATTTCAACAAAGATTTTGAGAAACTGAAGAAGGTCCAGAGAAGAGCAACAAAAATGATTAAAGGTCTAGAAAACATGACCTGTGAGGGAAGACTGAAGGAATTGGGCTTGTTTAGTTTAGAAAAGAGAAGACTGAGAGGGGACATGATAGCAGTTTTTAAGTGTCTAAAAGGGTGTTACAAGGAGGAGGGAGAAAAATTGTTCTCTGTGGCCTCTGAGCATAGGACAAGAAGCAATGGGCTTAAATTGCAGGAAGGGAGGTTTAGTTTGGACATTAGGAAAAAATTCCTGTCAGAGTGATTAAACATGGAATAAATTGTCTAAGGAGATGATGGAATCTCCATCACTGGAGGTATTTAAGGGCAGATTGGAAAGACATCTATCAGGAATGATCTAGATGGTGCTTAATCCTGTCGTGAGGGCAGGGGACTGGACTTGATGACCTCTCAAGGTCCCTCTTCCAGTTCTAGTATTCTGTGATTCATAAATTTGGAAAGCTCTTTTTAAAAACTAGTTGGGTGGTTTATCTGCAGCACTTCTTTCACTTCATGGCAAAGGAGCTTTTCTAATTAATCAGTCTCCCTATATTAAAAACTTCTACTAGGCTTACTACTGTTTTCTATCTTTTAGTGAAACCACGTAATATATAAATGCTGTGCCCTGAAGGCAGGCTGGAGGTGCCAGGGCAGAACCTGAATGGGGTTAGGGTGAAGCAAAAGCAAGGAGCAACAGCACTCAGCTTTGAGTTGGGAAGCGGGAGACCATAGCAATGGTGCTGAGAATCCTGCCCTGTTTAAATACACCAGGACACACAGTATGCAGCTTCATTAGTTCTTCTCCTCCAGTGCAGGGTGCCTGTTGCCTCGCTACTCCTCAAGTGTTGCTCTGACCTTTCCCACCTGGAATCTCCTTTTTGAAGTGGAGGTGGAATCCTTCCTCTGGTGGAGCTGGCTGTATGGGGCGAGCCCCAGATCCTTGCAGCTGCCCTGACTGTGTTTTTACAATAGCCCAGGGTGCTGTTCAGAAGTAAAGGGGCCCCTGCTCCACCCATTCCAACACCCCTCACCTGAGTAGTGAAGCTGTCTGATGCAAGGGAGCTGCTGTAATCTTTGCTGAGCTCTAAACAGTATGGTCTTAGCTATTCCTTGCAGCCTCTCCTTTCCTCTGCATGGGATATCTGACTCTTGTGTGATTCATTGAGGATCTCAGGAATATCCAGCCGTTAGACTCCAAGGCTATATTGAATTCCAGCCCTGCTACCTGGTGCTCTAATCATGCCCCTTTTCTCTGTCTGATTTTGCAGAAAGCGCTGGAAGAGGTGCCTGGGAACAGCAATGCTCCTGTGGTCCTTGATGAATCAAAGCTGTGAAGAGGAGGGGTGACACTGCTTGCCACCCCTCCTTTCCCATCTTTGTCACTGGTAGTATCTTTCCAGTACCTGCACAACATGGCGTTGGGGACAGCTTCAGGGCTGGAGTCCAGGAAGCTGCTCATGGTGCCACCATCAGAAGGAACAGATCAACCAGGGGTTCTCTCATCAATTCGCTTTCTCCTTTGTGCTGCTGTGGGAGAACCTACTCCCCACATCTCCTGTCTGCCCAAGGGCTCATGGGATCTTGCACAGGGCGAGTCCAACAGAACACTCAGTATTCTGAGCCCATTCTAGCATTTCTGAAATGGCCTTCCTTTCTCCTTCCAGAGAAGCTGTAAGAGGGTTAGCCAAGTGCATCCTCTCAAAGAACTTCTTGGTGGAGAACTAGACAGCACTTGACCTGTGACCAGCCATGATCTGAGCTGTGACCCTTGCTCTGGAAGTGACGGTCTACCCTGCAGTGATAGAGACTGGAACAGGGGCTCACCTGTCCTGAGTGTGGGAGCGATGGTTTAGGCCCCTACACCTCTCCAGGCTCTGCAAAGCACTGTGGCCAGTTCCTATTTTTGTACAGGGACCTCCCAGCTCAGCAGATATTTAATTTGTAGACTAACGTAATTTTCTATTTTAACTAAACTGCCTTGATGGTTTTAGAAATTTTGTAGAGTAAATTAAAAAAAAAAAAGACAGGAAGTACCAGTGTGTGTCCTGGGGATAGCCTAAGAGTGAGTCAAATCCTTTGAGGCCACAGGGCCTGGTGCTAGGGTGAAGTGCATCAGGGTCTAACCCACTTCTTACTTGACACCAGTGCTATAGGGACAACACTACCGAGTTAGACTTTGAGATCCTTGGGCCAGGGACCACATCCCCTTCCTTTGGTGAAAAGCACTTTACACAAGCGCAAGGTTGGTGCTATAAAAACACTACACATTTTGTGAGAGTCCTTGGCTAGGACAGACAAAATGAACTGTGCTCCCAATTCCTCTTCCTTCCTCCCGACCCCTCTCTTGTTCAATTCATTGTACCAATGCTCGGCAGCGATTCAGTGGGAGGCAGGCAGAGGTTGCTCTTGCACAGGGCATCCCTAAACTTAATAAGGAGCTACATCAGCTGAGAATCCCTTGGACACTTCTCCCACTCACCATCGGCCTTCAGTTTGCTGCTGCCTACTCCCCCTCTCATGAGCATTGAACCCATCTCTCTTCCCAGCTGCAATCATGTAGTTTGCTTCTTTTATTATCAGTGGCTCCCCCATGTATTCCATCACTGGGTGAGAATCACCTTGCAATTCCAGTCAGTCACAGGGCAAAGATTAGGAAAATGATATTTTAATGTGTCCTGAAAAAGCTATTTATTCTTTCTGCGTTTGCTCCCCATTTTACCCCCCTCCCCCCCCACACACATCTGTTCCTCTGCTCCTTCCCCCAGCTGTACATTTCCCAGCCACCTAGTCCTTTGGGCTCCAATCTCCCCCTCCCAATATATTTCTTCAGACATCCTATCTTGCTGGTGGCTGGCAGCTCCACACCCCTGGGTTGCTGGAAGGAGTTCCTGTTTCCTCTCCTCTTCAGTAGCCCTAGCCCCTAGAAGCAGCAACTAGGTTGCCACTTCCTCATGTCCCTCTGCTTCTGCAAGTCTCTAGGTGCCTCTGTGCAATAAAGTGCCTGGACACCTGCTGAAGTAGCTGGAAACAAGAAGAGCTGTTACCACATGACCTGTCATCTTTCTGGGCCACCAGTAAGTGCTGTGCAGGCTACAGTTTTGGTGACATTGGACTGATGCTCAATAATGCAGTGTGTGCCCATGGACCAGTGCTGTCTTCCTTCTATTTCTAAGGGAGAAGGAGCATCTGTTAGCTCTGGCCTACCTTCACAAGTTACCCTGATTTATTATAATGCAATTTTGGGGATGGTGAGAGTGGCTCAGGCCTGGGTTATCTCACAAGACCTTGGGAAAATGTACACTGGATTCCTTGTATTTTTAAATATAATTTGTATTTAATAGCTGTATTGGTGCAACTGTCTGAAGGTCATCCATAAATATTCCACCCACAGAGAGCCTACCACTGGCAGAGCTGTAGAAAAGGTGCATACCCTGCAGCTGTGTGAGCCCACTAATGGCAATGCAGATGGACAGGCCCACCCCTGTGGTATACAAAGGGAATTATGTGGTTAACATCTTCCTACACAGTCTGCTCTCACTGGAATTTCTGGGGTGGCCACACTGAATAGGACAAGGGTTTCTGGTTCAGAGAGCAGAAGCAACTGTCTGTAACTAGTGCCCATTCTCTCCTACATCCTCTAATATCCTCACTCCTGCTTCTGCACAGCCCTCTTGCCCTCCCACCACCTGCTTTCTCCAGTTTCAGCCTGGCCCAGGCCCAGGCCCAAGCCCTTTCTGCTCTCACAAACACCACATTATTCACTGAGCCACTATTGGGAGCTGTGTGGCAGTCAGAGAAGGAAGTAAAGGAACAGCTGGGTTTACTACTATGACCCTTGTAAATGAGGAAAAGAGGAAGAAGCAGCAAATAGATCTCCACTGCACTTCGTGTCTACACAATATGAGCAGTCAGGCTGTGCAGCAGGAAACTGGAGGGAGGCCTTGGCCAGGTAGGAGGTCCGACTTACCCTTTAGGTGGGCGCTCCTTGTCACTCAGGCCAGGTCTCCCTTCCTCCCTCACTCTCTGTAGTGGAAGGCAAGACTCTGAGCCTTCCACAGTTTTCTATTGTTTATTACAAACTGCCCCAGCAACACAGACACATGCAGGCTACACAAGGGCACCAGGAGCTGGACTTGGTCTCCTTCCCCACAGAAATTGCCAGCAGGTCATGGGTGGCTTTATTCCTCCTCCCTGCAGGTGCTTTGGGGGCAGAACTGTGCTGGGTATGGTGGGAACTGGTTTGCTTGCCAGCGTGGGGATGTCTCAGGCAATGTCTATGGTGGGATAGCCCCCACAAATTTGGGGTTGGACTTTTATCTCTGGTCAACATTAAAACACTGCCTGTAGAGGTGATTGCTAATGAAGAGTGTCTAAGGAGAATGATCTGACTTCAGGGAGCTAGACAAGCAGAGACGGTGCAAGGAAAGTAAGATGGCAGGAGTTTGGTAGGGACGATGCGGAGGCAGCAGGTAGGTGAGGTAAACATGCGTGGGACCCTTGGCTTCAGTTTCTCTTCTTGTTTCGTGACACTGCTTCCACGTCCAGGTATTGCAGCCCAATCAACATGCCCAGGATGGAGAAACCTGAGACACAGACGGAAGGCAAGTGGGTGCCAAAAACACTGCCCATAGGCCGTAAAGGGCACTTTACCTCTTCCCACCCCCCCTCATGTGAGCTCTACCCCAACCTCCTAGCTCCAAGGGAAATCATGGAGTGAGCCGTACTTACTTGCCACCATCAGGGGTGCCAGGACACCGATTGTCGGGGCTGCTGTGCCATAAACAAACACTTCAGAGAGGAAGTGACCCAGGGCTATGAGGAAGGTCAAGAGTGTGATGTGATACAGGCTGCCAGGAGCAGAGAGAAAGAGAGAAGGGTTAGAAAGTAACATGGAGTGGGAACACAAGCATGGCAAGGAGAGGGAGAAAGCCAGCCAGTCCATCCTCATATTGCGGAGTGAAACTAATTCCAGCTTAGCAATGGCAGGATGGGGAAACCAGAGACAGGTCCCTTGCTGGTCTTTATGGTGCCTGAAGCATTTTCAAGATCTTCCTTGCACCCACAACATTAGAGCCTTTTTACATGGCGAAAGTTACCCATTGTTGACAATAGGTTGTCCTAACACCTGCCAATCAGGGCTAAAATGGTGGCAGCAAGTGCAAACAGTAGTCAAGAAAGAGGCCTAGAGATGAATGTAGGATGCTTTCTGTAATGATGGCTTAAAGGTTTGGTCTTGTCTACATTAAGCCCAAACAGTAATCAACTCCAGTTGAGAAGCTTTGGAGAGATCTGATAATTTCTTATTTAGATCCTTCCTTATTCTGTAAAGTGACTGTCCTGATGGTCCCATTCTCATTTTGTTGGGTCAGAGTTGCCAGATTCTGTGACCAGTTGTGCTGGAGCTAGGGATGCTACCCTGGCTTGAAGTGACAATAACAAAACAAATACATGGTGTCCATCCTCAGCACCTCCTGATGTTGTTCCAGCACCTTTGTCTGTGACTGAAGTAAGTCTTTGCAGCTTTTTACTCTAGGTAGCCCTTTTCAGCCAACCCAGCTAAGAGAACGGGTTGGAGTCTCTTCCAGCCAATGCATCATAGTAAAGGATTCTGCTGAAGTTCCAATCTGTTACATAAAACAGCTAAAATGGGGCAGCACAGGTGCCACTGAGGACAGCATCTGTCCTAATGAACTTTGTCTAATGCTGGAGTGTTAGAAGGAAAGTGTCTCCTTGTCTCTCACAGCCCAGGGTGAGTTTTCAGGACTGGAAATGAGAAGAAAAAACATCTTTTTATTTGTAAACAGCAAATGTGATATGGTCCTCACTGGGACATACCTGTGGCCCCACAAAGCATTTTACAGCTTTTCTCAGGAGAATGGAACTTTACTCAGATCAGCTAAGATTTCCTTTACTGAGCATGGGCAGGCGGGCAGGTAGGATAGGAGATGTGGTGGATTCAGTGTATGGGCAGGATTGCTCAGTGCACTGGGAAGAGAAAGTGGCTGAACTGACGCACATAACTCTATTGGGCTGAGAAAGAAGTGGAGGAGGCAGCACCTTTATGCCAGAGGGTAGGGAGGTATGGGAGTAGGAGGCAGCTCTCTAATGCTCTCAAAATACCCCTAAGAGGCCAGTGCACAAGGTGGTGCTCAGCCCACTGGGACTTTTGTGACGACAACACAGCCCATTTCAACAGAAGAAGAGTTGATCAGAAATGTCCTTGGCCTAGTTCAATGAGGGGGCACCACAGGAACAATCTGAGTGCAGGAAGGGGTGCAGCTGTAGGCAGGTTTTGCTGATGCAGAGATCAAGTGCATCGTCAAGCAAAAGGGTATGGATGTGCATGGATTTCCATTGTAGAGATGCCAAGGAATGTGTGTGCACAAAGGGAGTGGTAAGAACTAGGGATGTTAAATCCCAGTTAATCGGTGAACTGGTTAAATGTTAGGCTGACCTACCGTTTAACTGAGTAAAGTAGGATCCGGGTTGGGGACGGTTCCAGCCCTGCTGGAGAAGCCCCCAGCCTGCAGGGCTCCTACCCACAGCCTTGCACTGGGGCTGGTTGCCAGCTCCCAGCCCTGCACTAGGATTGGGTCTACTGGCTCCCAGCCTCCACAAGAGCAGCCCCTTCCTGCGGGGGGCCTGAGCTCCCCATGGACAGAGGCTGCTCTGGATACAGGAGCAGCCCCTGCCTGCAGGGTGCTCACAGGCCCCCTATGGGGCTGGAGCAGCCCCCTGCCTGCAGCAGGTGGGGAGCAGTCTCAGCCCCCACTGGTTACCGCTTAAACCTTTCATGTTCCTAGTAAGAGCTTGAGGGGTCAAGCAGAAGGGATTGGGGAATAGTGGAGGCATCCCATAACAAAGAGAAGCTGACTTGGGCTGTCTGCCCAAATCTACCACCTAAGATTATTTTATACCTAAGCTCTCATGCCCTCTAGGGGCCACTATTGCAGTTTGTTACAGACCTCATTAGAGTACAAAACCGTTCCAAGAAACCAGCAGGCCAGGATGTGTGTCCTCCGACCCCCTCCCAGGCAACTGCTAGCAGTCCCGTAATCCGCAGACATAACCAACTGGCCTGAGTTCATCCCCTCTACAAATTTACCCAGCAGAGAGAACCACCAGCCTCCCATCTCTATCATCCAATATGTTCTAGAGATACAAATGGAAGTCACCCTGCTTTGGCACTACTGCCATAGTTACCAGGGGAATAAACATGCAGTCTATCCAAGGTAGATTATCCCTATAGCTACAAAGACAACCACCAACTGATGCTGACCCCCACCAAGAAAGCCCACATGCATGTGCTCCCTTCAGGCCCATAGTTGGGGGCACAACACAATCTGGGATGAGATCCACGCAATCCTTAACTGGCAAACATATTCCACACAGTCTGATGGGAGCATAGCTATGCACCCAATATCACCAGGATAATGAAACCCCAGGGCTGAGGGTTCCAGAATGAGGATCAGAAACAGGATTAAAAGGCTGTGTCAGCTCTGCTAATTATCAGCTTGATCTAAGAACTAGGTTCAAGTGAGCAACTCCTCTTTCTAGGATTCAGGGGGTAGTAATTAAACTTTTTACTCCAAGAGCTGCTCAGTAAGGGTACATCTACACAGCACTGTTATTTCTGAATAATTGATGTTATATCAAAATAACAAAGTGCGCATCTACACATGAGCAATTATTTTGACAATGTTGAATTAATGTCTAGTTGGAAGACTTCTTACTCCGACTCCTCTAAGGCTCATTTTACGAGGATTAAGGGAAGTCAGAGGAAGAGTGATCTATTTCAAAATAAGTGCTGTGTACATGCGCCCAAATTCAAAATAAGCTCTTTCGACTTAAACTATGCAATTAGCGTAGCTCAAGTTGCATATCTTATTTCGAGTTTAGCCCTGTTGTGTAGACATACCCTTAGAGACCAGTGATTAATCCACCATATGGGGCTACCTGTTATGATATTTCAAGGGAAGACTGTCTACCCCTACATCAAGAGGAACTCAAGGGGATTTCAAGAAGCAGCTATTGATAATGGCCAGAACTGCCCCATAAGAGGACTTAAGAGTAATAGCAGTGATAAGTGTACACTATGGGGAAAAAGGGACACCCTTCTCTGGCATTTCCCTTACATACGTCTTGTTGCGAATGTCAATAGCACAGGAGCAGCGAATCACTGACGACAGTAGAGTCCAGATGCCAAAAGTCCGAGCTTGGAGACCATTCACTGTGCAGAGAAGAAACAAATGAGGTAAATGAATGCTCCATCCCATGAGCTACCATCTCTACAGGCTCGACCAAGTGGTTGAGCGAAGGAAGAACATAAAATCTACTTCCAGGTAGAGAGTTACACCATATCAAGATTTCCTAGATGATTCAAGGGCAGATAAGTGTGTACGAAAATAGCTGCTAGGAATCGTGCTCCCCTTTCCAGTAACCACAGACCCTCAAGGGAGAAAAAGAACCAAGGCTGGTTCCAGTGCTTCACTAAATCAGAAGCATTGCTATGGATGCTGAATAGCACAGTAGAAGACAGTACAGTGTAGGGATGTTAGCTTTAGATTAACTGGCTAATTGAATTGTCGATGCAAATTGCATCGATGATTCGATTAGTTGATAAGGGAGCCTCCACCTTTGAAGTGTAGCAAAGCCCCAGGGAAAAGCGTTGCAGGGAGAAAGCGTTGCAGGGAGCACGGGGCCAGCGGGGGACTCAAAGCAGTCCCCCACTGGTCCCATGCTTCACACGTTTCAAAGTGGCAGTGCTGCACGGAGCCCAACCCTGGGCTCCATGCAGCAGTGCCGCTTTGAAATGCTGTGTGCAGCCCAGGCCAACTGGGGACTCCCCAGCTGGCATCTGACTGCATGCATTTCAAAGAGGCAGCGCCGCATGGAGCCCAGGGTCTGGTCCCGGGCTCCACGTGGCGCTGCCGCTTTGAAGCATCCCATCCTCTTTCCTCCACCTTGCTGCCTCTTTCTGATAGAGGCAGCAAGGGTGGGAGGAAGCAACTAGTCAACTAGTGTATTAACTAGTCGTTCACATCCTTAGTATAGCGGAGACAGGCAGGCGTGCTCCAGAGAAAACGAAGGTTGACTGCTGAAGAGGGTTGCCCTGGTGCGTTTGGGCTAGCATGTGGAATACAGGAAGTTAAGATTTGCACTGTGGCTCACTTCTGAGATGTGGACAAAAGTTCTCCAGGACTTGGGGCAATATGCTGATAAATGAGGAATAGCTACTATTGTAATGACTCTTGATGGGCAGGATGGGCAACTTGGGCTCCTTACCAAGGCTAGGTGTGCCTGTATACAGCTTCTCAGAGAGAAAACTGTGGTCACGAAAACTCTGCAATGTGTTCCCCATTGCGATGATGGACACCATGACTAGCCAGCTGCGCAACACGTTCAGAAAACGGCTCATCATGCTCTGGTACCTGCTTCTGGGGACAAAAGCAGGAGATCATCACAAAAGGAAACCACACGGATTCTACTCCCTAGAACTTTTCCACTTAAGCCAGGAACCCGGCTTTTCCACAGAAAGTCCCTTTCTCTTTCCATAAGTCCCCAGAGAGCAAGCAGTCCTCACCAGATAAAGCTTGCACTACACCCCTGATAATGCAAGAGTAGAAATCTGTATGTCCAGCAGCCTGGAACAACATGATGCTGCTGCCCCATCCTAGGGAGTTACTAATCTTCAGGGTCCTGGGCAGAACATGACGAAGTAGAAATCTTTGGTGCATCCTCTCCACCTTTCTCTCTCCCCCGATTGGAGACAACAGCTTACCACATCACTCGCGTCTGCAAGACCGATCGTGTATCTAGCTCCCTGCATGGCAAAGCTGGGCACTGACACCCAAGTTAATGCAACCTACTTGTTAATGCCAGTGGAGAGATTTACACTCCCTGCCCCGCTGTCCCGGGGCTGAAGTCCACTCCGTTTCCTCCGGTCCCACCCCCTCCGTGCCCCACATCTCCCGCACAAGTCCCCCAACCCGTCTTCGCGCCGATTCCCTCCCGCCCTCGACTGACATCACCATTTTATCGCCCTTCCCCGAGCCCCTCCAGCCTTCCCACTATCTTCCCTGAGCCCTGCACCGCATCCTCCGACCAGTCCTCACCCCGCTGCACATCTGCTCCCAGCCCTTCAGCTCCAGCCGCTCCCCTGTGCCCACCCGCTATGCAGCAGCAGCCCCACCCCTTACTGGTTTGCGTACTGGTTGGTTCCATGTTAGCCCTGTCCCTACTTAGATTGGCTGTTAGACCCATCACTACTCACACGCCATATAGATTGATAGGTCACTACACGAGTCTCTATATTACCATAAGGCGCCTCCGCTCCTGAGGCGCGGTGACGTAAAAATGGGCCTTGTGCGTGCTTTTGGGGGGAGGCGGAAGTTGCAAGTGGCGCGGGCAAGGCGTGCAGCGCGGTGTTTGCGCCTGCGTGTTAGGAGGAGGGGATGCCTCTGGCGCCTGCGCAGAAGGGAATTGGAGGCGGTTGCCTGCCTGTTGGTTGTTGTAGTAACGGGGAAGCGTCGGGAGGAGGGAGCAGTGGCCGGTGGGGCTGCGTTGCCCGGAGCCCATCCCATGCCCCCAGGAAGGTGAGGCTGTAGGCAGGGGGAAGGCGGGAGCGCATGGCGCGGCCCCAGGGGCTGCCAGCTACGGCGGGGGAAGCTGCGGGTGCCGCCCGCCAGCGCGGCGGGAACGTGGCGTCCCGGGCTCGCTAGCCCCGAGGCGGCCGCGTTCGGCGGGGCCTGTGGCTTGCGGCTGTGGGGCCAGGTGTCTCCCTGGAGCCCGGCCCGGCCCCCCAGTAGGAGCGGACGGCGCGGGGTGGGGCGCTGCCGTGGGAAGCAGCCCCCCTGCCCCGAGGCGTCACGGGGGGGCTGGGCCCTCCGCAGGTCCCTTCTGGCTGCGCTAGTAGAGCGAGTCGGAGGCTCCTGCGTGGGCAACGACCAGAGGGCCTGGGTCGGCGCCAGACCGTGTGGCGGTGAAGCCTGAAGAGATCATCGGAGCCTCCTGTCTGACCCCCGTGTGGAGCACCATCGCGTGTGTTTGACTAAAGCATAGCCCTATTAGGAAAGCCTTTGAGGAAGAAATGCAGAAGCAGGCAGACCTTTTCCAGCTAGCCTCTGAGTCCCGTGCACAGGAAAGTAACTTTCTTTTCTGGGAAGCTGATCAGAAATCTATCCTGGGACTCCCTGCACAGGAGCAGTTTAGACCGAGAGGGGTCTCGCAGGAGATTGTTCATAAGGGCTGAGGGCCCCAAAGAAGTATCACTGTGAGTGAAAAGTTACAGTGCCCTGTCTAGTTAAGTATCAAAGAGGGGTAGCCATGTTAGTCTGAATCTGCAAAAGCGAGGAAAGCTTATGCTCCAATAAATCTGTTAGTCTGTAAGGTGCCACAGGACTCCTTGTTGCTGTGTAGTTAAGTGTCTTGGACTAGTGATGGTTCAGAGGAAAGTACAAAAGCTGACTGTTATGGAAGTGTTTTCCTGGTCCAAATAGTTTAGTTTATACCCTGTAGTAGCAGGATAAATGTCCCATGTAGATTTGTGTACTGTACTGGAAACAGTTGAGGTAGTGCTGTGGCCTCCTCTCTTTATGCTGAGTTGGCATATGTCTCTAGGCTATTCTGCACAGTAATATACTCATATTCCTGATGTTTATTACAGGAAGCTGCATTGGCTAGATCCACTGATCCTCTGTGAAAGGGACTAAGAACCACAGTGACTGGACTGCATGAAAATTCCTATATGAGATGCCAGTTGGGATGGCTCGAGACTTGGAGGAAACTGGCTCATCCACAGAGGAGGAAGAAGTGGAAGAAGAGCCAGAGTAAGTAAAAACATATACAATGCCTGAATAGTAGCTGTGCTTCACCTGGGATGTATGGGGTCTTTAGAGGATATTTACTAATCTGGTATGACCATTTCATTCCTCACCTGTAATCCTTCAGGTCTGTTTGCTGAGGAAGGAAATAGATGGGGTGGGTTTGGGGCTTTTAATCATAAACAAGTATGTTGGTAGGTACAGAAATCTTTGCTTTGAGGAGTCTAAAAGAACCCCACTTTCCTTCAGAGAGGGAGCCTCTGGGATTAGGGCTGATAGGAAGAGGGTGAGGCCTCATCTGCTGATTTTTCTCACTCTCCTCACTTCCTGGTGTCTTCCTTATTATTACTACATTCTTTCACAACTCCCTGACATCCCTTTTTCAGCTAGGGTGGATTCTCTTGAGTACCATCCAGGGAAATGTGTAGCTCCTAGTTCTACTGTCTGCATTTGTTTCCATTTTTGCATATAGAAACATAAGGTATTGCAGAGCAGCCTGCTATCATGTAGGTCATTTGGACTCTCTTATCCCTCATGTTCTATTTAAGGTTAATAGGAGATATGTTAGTCCACTCATCTAGGAGTTCCTGTCAGTCCTATCTCCCTGCTTTGTGTGGCACCTCCTTCCATCTCTATTGCTCTAGTGTCCATTTCCAGAATGGTGTCCTACTCCTGCATTAGCAAAGTCTGCTTTAACAAGCTAGGTTTTTCTGTTTCGCAAAGACGACTCTCAGCATAGTTTACCATGAAAAGGGCCCCTACTTAATGCTCCCAATAAAACTGAGTTGTCCACGTGTTCTCAGACATCCCAGGGAAGGGATAGGAGGGCCTGGGTTGGCGTCATTCAGTCAGATGGCAGTTTGGTACTGTGTCTGCATCAAGTAACCAACGTCATGCTAGGGATGAATCTGGACAGTTGCTTGGAGGATAGTATGAGTCCTGGTGGCCTCAGTGCAAATCCTCAGAGCAGAGCTTAACCTAAAGCCCCTTTTCTGCTGTCTCGGCTCTGTTCCCACTTACGTAAGTAAGGTGCTAGCTTGTGCTAAGACTTGATGCTGCTGTACACTGGCAATGGGTGAGCAACTGAATTCATCTAAGGGTGTGTGGGAGGATTCTGGGGCCAGATAAAGAGCTCAGGCCTGAGTGGTCTGGTCTGAGGAGGGGGGAAGAAGAAAGATTGGGCTTGCCTTTATTTAGGGATAGTAAATATTTGTTGAATGTTCACATTTGATCTGATGCACTGGATGGTCCACAGGGAAAAATGATCTCTGCTATCCAATGTGGAGAGTAGACCTACTTACATTTACTTCTTTATCTCAGCCTTGAGAAGGTGCCCACACAGGAATCTTCTTTGTGCACCTCTGTCTAGAAATGTGGGGAAGTGGGTATACAGATATTTATCTCTGCATTAGGGATGTAATGGTGTAGTAAATTAACCAATAAGCAAAAGCGTATAGGTTAATGCTATACACTATACGCATTTCCCCCTGCCAGTATATTTTATAGCAGGCTGGCCAGCAGCCCGGCTCAGTCCTGGCTCATGCCATGTCTGGGACCGACCCCTGCTACAACTCTGCATTTAAAGTGTATTAGGAGCCAGCTGGCTCAGTTCTGGCTCGTGCTGTGTCCGGGAGCTCAGCCCTCCTCT